AGAATGTATATGTTGAAAATATTTATTCTCCTCCAATAGGATGGCTCATATACACTCAAAATATTCTGCATAATCAATTAGCAAGGATAGTTTGCGGTCGATATGTGAGAGAAAAACTCTGTGATGATATTTTGACGCTTTAGTTCTCGAAGTAAAGCAATCTCGCGACATGCTGACATAGACAAACCGGTACCATCAATTTGCTTCAAAGCAAAGCTCTTCACCGTCCGAAGTCTCTTTCCACTTTGCTTTATATACATGACCGTAGGTGCCTCGACCCACCTTACAACCCTCATAGTTGAAAGGTCTTCAACTTTTGTGCGTTCTTTTTGTGTTTTCATTTTAAAATCAGAATCCATTCTGATTCTCTTTGCATTAGTAGTATAATATATTCTATGGGTGCGCAAATCTCAAAAGCTCTCCTTATTGAACTAAATCTAACATTTGTTCCATCTGCAAACCTGTAGTGGTTTGTTAACGTTAATGGCAGGACTCTTTGGAATTGCTCTCTAGTAATCACTAACGTTATACGGGCCAAGCACCCTCTTTGGGTAAATGGCCTCATTTAAGAAGGACTTAAATCGATAATTTCTCATACTAGAATTGAACATTCCATACACTGCATCTCACTTTGCTATTAAAGACAAAGTGACTTTGTGCTGAACTTAGTGCTGAATTTTTTTTCAGACAGCTTGCTTTGCAAATTATTCTCAATATCACCATCACCTACACTTCGATAAAATTCGTTTAGCAGCCCTTCCCTTTCTCAGATATGAGCACGTTCCTGCCATTAGCCGTTTGGACACCTATGGTTTTGTCAACTTGTGCAATGCTCTTTGCAATTTTTCTAAATTTTAGCAAGCCAAGCTTAAGTCTTATACACAATTCGTGCGTAAAAGCAATTTTTCTATTTTCATGGTCCTTACTTGTTTACAATTGAGAATAATTGAAAAAGTCAGTCTGTTTTTGTAAGAAATCGCCTGTTGCATTGAAAAAACGACTATCAATTTGGTCATATATGAGAGTAATTCAAAAATAATTTGGTTACATCTGAGAGTAAGCGTTTGAATTTGGTCACATCTGAGAATAAGCGTCTGTATTCCTTGGCTAAAGTGGCTGACACAATGAACGTCTTTTCCGTTTTGGAGAGCCAAGTGGTAAAGACAATGATAGTCGTGCTGCCATATTGTTTTACAGGAAAACGTAAACAAAAGCATATGGTCTTAGAACCAAAAATAAAGATATCAATTTAATTATAAGCAACAAGTTTTTTAATCTGCATTGGGACCCAGTTTGTTGTTAACTTATCTATCTACGATTCTCTAATAGAACACTCTGAACTTTTAAATAAATGCTCTTTATGGCTTGTATTCCATTTCTTACAAAATAGGGCGTGGCATAAACCAAAATAGCAAATTACATAACATAAAAGAAGATAAACATAAATAACTTTTTGATTTAAAAGAAGCGATCGTCATTTCTTCTTGTGCTCTGTTTTCTGTTTGTTTTAATTGTATGTACATACGTAAAACCGTATGATTTATCGATCTCCATAAAATTCTGTAAAAAGTCGACAAAGTTTGAGTTCCAACCCGATAATAGGAATGACAGCAAATACAGTCAGGACAAAAAGAAATAGAACCGAAAATTGACGGGACGACGGAAAAGATCGAGAAAAGTCAGGAGAAATCAGGGAGTCCTACAAACTCATATAGCCGAAGTGTACCAGCTATTCATAGGCAAAGGTAGTGTGCTGGAAGGAAAAGTTGTTATTGCAATAGGCCAGTTGGATGCCAGAATAAATGCCAAGGAAGAAGACGCAGACGCCTTAAGAAGTGAAATAAAAGCCTTAAAAAACGAAATGGCTAAGCTACAAACTAAACCATCTCAAGAGCAGGCGTTCACGCTGCTGAAAGAGCTGTTATATGCTGCACCTATTTTAGCTTATCCACTACCAGGAGAAAAATTTGTAGTGGACACGGGCAGGCGCGCAGACCTGACGGACTCATAGAAAAGAAGAACATGCTCACAAAGAACTTATGTGTTTTCTTTTTACATTTTATATTATTATGTTTTTTTTTTCTTAAGGAAAATGTAAATTTTTCAAACTTTCTCTCATGCTTGAATTCCCTGACTACATTACCAGATGACCACGATTCCTTAATAAGTAGAGCATTAAAATGTTCGAATTGTATCAAAACTTCAAACATTGAAGTAGGGCTACTATGATTAACCTCCTGCATTTTGGCAGATAGGTACTTGTATAACACCGTACGAGGTTATCCAAGTAATTGGCTGGGTCGGGATTTGGCTATTGTTGGTTTTCGGTGGTGTAAGGTCTGATAGGTCTTCCGAGAGCACCACTACTCACAAATGAACAGTTATTGACGACGAAGTCGCAAGGTATGATCTAGGATACTCCTCCGCCTTTAGTAGTAATTCCTTAGACTCTTAAGCTCATTGAACAGCTCGCAATATTTTTTAAATTTCACATAAAACGCCTCTAAATCTTTGGACATTTCAGCAAATCCGAAATGCAGTTTAAGCACATGCAGTTCATGTTTGGTAAGTAAATTTGCAAAACAGCTCAGTCCGAATTAGACTTATTATAAGGATTTTCAGTTCAATAAAAAATTTCAATTCCACACCAATTATGTAGAACTTTCCAACTTCAGCAAGTTAAACGTTATCGTGATATAAGTCGAGAATGTTGTGCTGTCGTTCTCGAAATTCAAAGTGCATATAAATCTGAATGATTCTTAGCTTGATCTAAAGTGTATGGAGTTCACTCTGTTGAATTTTAGTCAAAAACGTGTTTATTTGTTTATTTACTTACACATGAAACTCAACTAAAATAAACTAGCAGTCGAATTCAATCGACTCTTACAAGTAAATCTTACACTAATTATTATTAAAAACTAGATCAACCATTACATAATAATTCATGTATAAACAAATTCTTAAAAAGATAGAAAAAAGAATGCACACATTTAGCACAGAGTTACGCCCACAACCGGCGCAGGTGAACCGGCGCAAGTGAACCTCTAAACCATTGCAAACATGCAAAAGAAAACGATAACAGTAATAACACCAGTTAATTTGCGAATTATAGTGAGACATTAGGGTTTCAAGTTGGTTTAAATACGATAGGCTCGAAATAATCCGGAATTGAGGTTAAATGATAGACATCATTTCGGTCTCTGTAAATAACTCTAAACTGGTTAAACTGATCATAATTGTATTTACGTTGATTCAGCTTCATGAAAATGAAGTGCCTATGGCCCACGATGGTGCCTTTAATTAACTTAATTGAAAAGGAAACACCAAGAATAAATGTACGTTTCTCAAGTGGATAACAAAAGCAACTTATTTTCATGAGGAGGCAAACAGACAAATTCCTAAGGGCAAACACCAAGAATTGCTTTTGAACGGATTCAATTGAATCTGCATAACATTTGCAGGAAGGAAACCACACAACCAGCCTGTTCAAAGGCATGGGCGATTTTTCCTATTTTTTTGCATACAAAAACCTTTACTCATAAAATATAGGTTTACGTTTTCATAGGTTTATTTGCTGCAGTTTGGGTGTATTGCGCATTTCCCCTTTGGAAAATGGTTTACTTAGAATTGTGGGCTTGTTCCACGACCCAATTTCAATGCCGACCCGCATACAAGAATTTCCAATATTTCTGCCAAGTTTGAAGTCGATAGCTTCATTTTTGTTGCCAGGAGAATGTTCGCAGCAGGCATTGCAGAGACGGGCAGACGGACACACGGACATGTTTAAGTCGATTCAGAATTTTGATGCTGATCAAAAATGTATATACTTTAAGGTGTCTCTAAAGCCTTCTTGTGGATGTTTCAAACGTTTTGAAAAATTAATGTACTTCCCTTCATTTGCTGATAGGTGATAAAAAATAAATACACAACAGAAATTAGTTCAAAATTTTATTTATTTAAATCATAATAATAATGATTGTAACAATTTTGTTATTTAAACGCTTATGAATATGTCCATCTGACTCTTTCTGGTATTTTAAAATAAAGACTGAGAAAAATACATACAAACAGTGAAGGGCTTATTGCAAGAAGTATATGTTTTCTACTTAGGATAAAAAATTTTTGATATGTAGTATGCCGTTAACAATTTAGAAATCATTTACGAGTGTTCTTTATACCCACCACTGAAGTATGACGATGTACTAAATTTGCCGCCGCCGCAAAGTTGACTTTGTAAACGCTTTTGACCAACACAAGATTTCGAGTTGATATCGCCCTGCGCAGCTTCCCACGAGTTCGGTTGTCTGTTTGCCATTTGTTGTTCGCGGACGTAAAAATTGCGGTAAAAAGCTGAAATTTGGGGATACATTTACCATCTTAATTAATGTCTGAAGATGATCAAAGAGCTATGCAAATTCTGAAAAGTACTACAGAACGTTCAGGAGATAGATTTGGATTAGCGCACTTGAGATGGGATGACTTTTCAGCGTTTCCAAATTCTTACGTGCAGGTACTAAGAAGTTACCGTGAAAAAGCGATGTCGAAACCATAGACAGTGTTTTCAAGATACAATGATATTAGTGATATTAGCGCTATTGATAGAATCAATAGTTTCATTTTCCTCAAGAACACCCTGCAAATTTCCGAACTGACTATTTTTCGAATTGCACCCTTGATTAAAATGTTAATTATTTGAAGACTACATTTTTGTGTTTTTCAATCGATTTCTTTTACAAAAATGCTGTATTAAAATTTGTTTTTACTCTACGCCACTACGGCTTTCTGTGTAAACAAAACAAATTTGGTAGGAGCTGATTCCAACTGCAAAATTACCCAAAAAAAACCAAATTACTATTAATAAAAAACCACAAAAATTTATAAAAATATAAAGTAAAATTTAATTGTATTAAAACACCTTACAAAAAAAGAAATTGTTTATTAGGATATAAAGAATATAATAAGTGAAACAAGTGTGAGTTGAATAAGAATAAACAATTTTAACAAATAAAAGTTTAAATAAAAAGTATAAAAAAGTGTAACTTAAAAATAAAATAACATAAGAGCATTGGCGGTAAGTGCATTTTTATTACTCAGAATTGCATATATTTCATTTCTTGCCAAGGATACCCAGATTCACATAGTTTTCTTGGTAATCTCGCCTTTGTCTTCTTATTTGTAAATGCATGATTTCAGTCTGTAAAGATGATGATGATGATGATGATGTTTTGTGTTACTAATTTCTTCTTTTTGGTACCAATCAAGCGGAAGTTTTGGAAAAAGGAAATCAATAGGTAATCATTTAACAGCAAAGAGCGAAAGTGTACAAAATTTTAAATCCGAAAACCCGAGTGCCATATTTATACGTTTGCCATGCCATTCATTTTCGTCTTTATTAGGAAATTATCGAAAATTATATTAGAACAACAACATTGCGAAAAATTCGAAGGAAGAGTATATAAAAACGGGATTTGAGAGTAGAAATTTTAAGGAATTTGAAAAACAGCCAAAACCATATTTTGATACCGATTTAGATGGGAAGTAAGTCACTTAGAAATGATAATTTTCACTAGATTAACAACTATACATAAATCAATACATGAATATTATTTTACGATATTTGCCGATCAGTTGCATTCGTTGATACAACGTTTTGCCAATGGGGAATATGCAAGACAGTCCAAAAACTGCTCTGGACTCCACCACGTAATGACCGCGTCGACCGGATTTTATAAATCTGATGTCTGCTGTAATACCGCGAGGCCCAAAAGGCGTGGAAATCTTCCGTTTGCGAAAATGACCAGTGGAATATTGCAGAGACCACTAACATTTGATTGTTAAGTTAAATTTAATGGAAATAGCACAACATTGGCACTAAACAGTTCACCTTTCTTTAAAATATGAATAAAAACAGTGACGCTCCAGCTAATAGAGAGGGAATAGAGGTACCGAATAGCATAAAGCCTTCGTCTTGAAGAAGAACAAAATTATTCATCTGTTCATAGTTTGCTGGTAAAAGTCTACAGTTCCCCGTCAAAACGCGTGGGTTTCTCTTAAAGTAGTAAAGGTTTTCAATTAAAACTTATGGTTTTCAATGAGGTCGAAAAACGATTTGTTCTAAAGACTATTTTATTTGCAAACATGTTTTAAAAATTTTATTTTTTTATATATATTTTTTCAATCATAAAATAAAATTAATAATTAAAAAATAAATAATTCAATAAGTAAAGCTAATGGTGTCCAAATCTATCCATTGGAACAAAAACCAACCATTAGATGGCATAACCTTGCTCAGTTTCTCACAATCCACATTAGTGATAGCTGATAAGACGAAAATCATCATTATTATATCAATTGAGCCGTGTGCTATATGCTGCTAAATATCCTCGATTGTTATATCATATCAGCGGGTTTCGTTGTGTTTATAAAATAAACGCCACTAAGAATTATTATTGTCGAATTGGTAGAACAATTGGAAAAAGTACGTGTAAAATTTCGAACTGATATATCAAATAGATTCATTTAAACATCATCAAAAGTGGAATTGTTTTTCAGTTTTCTTAAAAAAAAAAAAAAAACTAGCAAAACGTGTGGTGGTTTTATGTTTATATAAAAGAAAAAGTATATAGACGTAAATAATTGTTAGGGGACAATTCTTGTATTTATGTTTCAGTTCAGTTTAAATATAAAATTGAAGAAATGTTTTGTGACTGATCTCCAATTTTTATTTTTAAATAAAATATTTTTTTCCAATAAGCTCTCGACATGTTTATTAATCCATCGTTTTAACATAAACATTGGTAATGACTTTTGTAAACTTTTTATGATTTAAATAAATTACTAATATTTACAGCAATAAGATATGTTCTATAAAATCTTATTAAAAAACATAAAATTATATTCACAAAAAAAACGGTTTTTGTTTCTAAAGAAGTAAAAATAAGCACGGTATTGTACATATGAAAGTAAGAAGGGAAAATAACATAAATCAAAGCTCTTTTAAATAAATAAAACTTCTCGTATGCATATATGCATATAAATATATATTTATAAAAATATTTAGTGCCTTACGTTGTCATTATTGATCATTTTAGATTGCTTTTAAGATTTTTGTTTTTTTTTGTGATCGTTAGCCTGGAAACCATTAATGGGATTAACACTTTTTGACTTCGTTTCATTAACCACTGAAGGAACAGAAAAGGATGTGGAGGGCGGGTATAAGGTTGTATTACCATTTAAGTACAAATTATTGTTGCCTTTTTCTAAGTATTCTAACTGTTCGTCAATTAAAGCATCCTCGGGTTCGATATGACTATTATTGTAAACAAAATGCTGTTGTTCCTTACTGGGTGATTGCGTCGCTGTTGGAGAAGAAAGAACTTCATTTGAGTTGCTGCGACTGCGTTGGTACATGTTTGGAGAATGAGCCAGTGGATAACTGTGTCTGGCAGGCAAAGCATAATTAAGCGAAATCATCAAATGACCGACGTTCGTTTCAACACCTATGGAAAAATGTAACAAACCGTCAGCATTCATCATTTAAATGACGACAAATTTCCCGTTTCACTTTGTTTATATAACTGATATTAAAATGTAGGGGTGCGATCTTTAAAAAAGACATAGAAGACACAATAACTCAATTTAAAACGACCGGCAAAGTGCAAGAAAGATTTCGACGGCCGTTATTATATTCGTTCAAAAATTGAAAATTAGAAAGTTTACATTACTCTTTAGTGGTTTCTTTTTTAGTTAAACCGCAACAAATGATAAAACTATTTCATTTCATTACTTGCTTTTGTTCAAAAGAGTAATCTTTTCTTCCCATGGTGACAGAATTTTAAGTGATATTCGTTTTTGATTTCATGTCGAGTCCTTTAGTTAATAATGAGATACAGTTGTTCACTTTCATCTAAAAAATGAATTTTTCGATTTGGCCTTATCTCTTCAATCGTGGAAAATATTGATATCCCCCAAGTTCCTTGAGTTCCGAAAATAGTCGAAAATTTGGAAGAATGAGCTAAATGCATGTAAGAGGCAAGATTGCCGTGACGTAAGAATGGCCCATAAATCTAGCTAAATAGCTTCACGCAAAACGCAGACGAACTGTATCGCTCAAATAATAATTCTTTTCAAAGGAAGGAATTGACAATGAATAGCGCATCGCACAGAATCGTTCAGTTGGGTGTCATAGCCGTCCAAGGTAAGTGCCCACGGACAGTTTGACGAGTTGACCTTTACAAAGAATTT